GATGAGAAGGAAGGAAAGAGGGAAGGAAGGAAAAAACGAGGAAGGAAAAAGATGAGAAGGGAGGAAAGAAAGAAAAAAGGAGAGGGAAGGGAGGAAAGAATGAGAAGGAAGGGAGGGAAGGGAGGGAGGAAAAAAGATGAGAAGGAAGGAAGGAAAAGAGATGAGAAAGAAGGAAAGAAGAGGGAAGGAAGGAAGAAAAAAGATGAGAGGGAGGAAGGAAAGGAAGGAAGGAAGGAAGGGAAAAAGATAGGAAGGATGGAAGGGGGGAAGGTTAGAAGGAAGGGGGAAGGAAAGGAAAAAGAGAGGGACGTATGGTGGGCAGTGTGTCAAAACTCCTCAGAGGGAACCAAGGAGACATTTCTTGGCAGCTAAGAACAACGAACCAGTGGGGGAGGCCATGTGCATGTGCCTAGGGGGCAGGGGGGTTGGGCTAGAAGACCTCCCAGGGTCCCTTCGGCGAGCCCCCCCCCTTCCCAATCCAGGGCCTGGGACAAGAGTTGCCCTTTTTCAGCCTCCTCTCCCTTCCTCCCCCCTGCAGGAAGAGATCCAGCAGCTAAAGGGCCGTTTGGAGAAGGCGGAGAAAGAGCGGAACGAACTGCGGCTGAGCAGCGACCGCCTGGAGAGCAAGGTGGGAGGCCTTGAAACCCCCTCCCCTGAACCACAGGCGGTCCTTGGGTTACGGCCGTTCGCTGAGCCGCCGTTCACAGTCAACGGCGGCCCTGAAAAAAAGCCACGGGCAGCCCCTTTTTCCCCCCTTAAGGACCGTCGCAGCATCGCCGGGGTTGCGGGATCGAAAATTCAGACCCCTTGGCCCTTGACTCGCGTTTATGACGGTCGTAGCACCCCGGGGGGTCCCCGTCATTCCCCTTTGGCGACCTCCTGTCGAGCCGTGTCAGTGGGGGAGCTAGGCTCCCTTCACAGTGGCAGTGCTTCGCTCTACAACTGCAGGCAAGGAAGGTCGTAAAAAGGGGCAAAACCTCAAGTTTTAACGAACTGGCTCTCTTGGTGACGGAAATGCAAGTCTCAATGGCAGGTCATAAGCCGAGGACTGCCCTGTTTTCCCCGCAAATGATGTAGGGTTTCCTGCCTTGAGCAGGGGGCTGGACTAGAAGATCTCCGTGGTCCCTTCCAACTCTTATTATTTCGCTTTCTTTCCTCCCTCCCTTCTTTCGTTCCTTCTTTCTTTCCTTCCTTCTTTCCTTCTTCCTTCTCTTCCCTCCCTCCTTCCTTCCTTCCCTTCTCTTCCCTTCCTTCCTTGCTTGCTTCTTTCCTTCCTTCCCATCCTTCCTTCTGTCCTTCCTTCCGTCTTTCCTTCCTTCCTTCCTTCCTTCCTTCCTTCCTTCCTTCCTTCCTTCCTTCCTTCCTTCCTACCTTACCCTTCCTTCCTTCCTTCCTTCCTTCCTTCCTTCCTTCCTTCCTTCCTTCTCTTCCCTCCCTCCTTCCTTCCCTCCCTCCTTCCCTTCTCTTCCCTTCCTTCCTTGGTTCCTTCTTTCCTTCCCGTCCTTCCTTCTGTCCTTCCTTCTGTCTTTCCTTCTTTTTTCCTTTCCTTCCTTCCTTCCTTCCTTCCTTCCTTCCTTCCTTCCTTCCTTCCTTCCTTCCTTCCTTCCTTCCTTCCTTCCTTCCCCTTCCTTCCTTCCTCCCTCCCTCCCTTCCTTTTTCTCCTCCCTCCGTCCCTCTATTTCCTTCCTTCCTTCCTTCCTTCCTTTCTTCCTTCCTTCCTTCCTTCCTTCCTTCCTTCCTTCCTTCCTTCCCCCCCTTCCTTCCTTTCCTTCCTTCCTTCTTTTCCTTCCTTCCTTCCTTCCTTCCTTCCCCTTCCTTCCTTCCTCCCTCCCTCCCTTCCTTTCTTTTTCTCCTCCCTCCGTCCCTCTATTTCCTTCCTTCCTTCCTTCCTTCCTTCCTTCCTTCCTTCCTTCCTTCCTTCCTTCCCACCCTTCCTTCCTTTCCTTCCTTCCTTCTTTTCCTTCCTTCCTTTCCATCCTTCCTTCTCTTCCTTCCTTTCCTTCCTTCCTTCTTTTCCATCCATCCTTCCTTTCCTTCCTTCCTTCCTTCGTTTTCCATCTCTGGATGTTTTCAAGAAGAGATTGGACAGTCCCTTGTCCTCCTTGCGCAGGGGGCTGGACTAGAAGACCTCCCAAGGTCCCTTCCAGCTCTATTCCATTCTTACCTCCTCTCAGGTCGCAGAGCTGACATCGGAGCTAACGGACGAGAGGAACACGGGAGAATCGGCTTCCCAGCTTCTGGACGCAGAGACGGCCGAGCGCCTCCGGGCGGAGAAAGAGATGAAGGACCTGCAGGTCAGCCCAGAGCTTCAGGGCTGGGGTTGGATTCACAAGTGACGCTTGGGTTGCCTCCGGGATACAGGTCATCCTCGATTCACGGCCGTTCCTTTAGCGACCGTTCAGAGTTACAACGGCGTTGGGGGGGGGTAAAAGTGGACTTACGACCGTTTTTCCACACTTACCGACCGTTGCAGCATAACCCATCGTCCCCGTGGTCACTTTTTCCAGGGCCCCTTGTCAATGTCGAACGGTCACTAAACGAAGTATATCCTAAGTCAAGGACTACCTTGTAGTCACGACGGCGATGTTGTGGGCAATGGCGTTTCTACGCTTCAAGGGTCAACCCAAATGGCCAAGGTTGAAGACCGGACGGGCTAAACAACCCCTGAACAGCATGGGATGACAGCCCTGATGGTGGGTTGGGCCTCCTCCTGACCCTCCCCTACTCCCCCTCCCCAAATAGGCCAAGTACGATGCCCTCAAGAAACAGATGGACTCCATGGAGATGGAAGTGATGGAGGCTCGGCTGATCCGGGCAGCCGAGCTCAATGGGGAGATGGATGATGACGACACAGGTGAGCCTCCGCTTCATCTCTTGGGCAGCCAGTTTCTTGCCCCTCCTTCCTCCTGGGGGGCTGCAGGCTGTCTCAGGTACTTTCGGAGTTGGAACGGGGGGGGTCATTTACGGAAAAGGGGCAGAAATATTGGCTCTAGAGGGATGGTGTTTTCCAATCTTGGCAACTTTAAGAGGGGAGGACTTCCACTCCCAGAATCCCCCAGCCAGCCTGCTTTAAGAGGGGAGGG